AAGGTTTGTAGGTGCCCCCCCAGAGGCAGGAGGAAGGATGAGGAGGTGCAGGTGCAGCTCCAAGCTGAGGAACAGCCGGCCCGGATGTCCCCAAAACGGCAATCACTTGGGAAATGTCTGTCCTGGAGGCTTGTCAGGTTTATCTGCCAAAGGCCAGAGAGCTGTGTTGTCCAGGTGGAAAGAGGAATAGGAGCGGGGGTCAAGCTGAGGGAGAAGGCAGCGGAGAGGGCAGTGGTCGTGAGGAGGTGCAGGTGCAGCTCCAAGCTGAGGAACAGCCGGCCCGGATGTCCCCAAAACGGCAATCACTTGGGAAATGTCTGTCCTGGAGGCTTGTCAGGTTTATCTGCCAAAGGCCAGAGAGCTGTGTTGTCCAGGTGGAAAGAGGAATAGGAGCGGGGGTCAAGCTGAGGGAGAAGGCAGCGGAGAGGGCAGTGGTCGTGAGAGGCAGCGAGGAGAGAATGAGCTGAACAAAGGCAAGCACAAAGCAAAAGTGGTTGAGGTAGGAGCAAAGGAAAATTGTAGTTACAGGGTCACAGAATAGGTTGGAAGGGACTTCAGGAGATCATCTAGTCCAACGTGGCTGCTAAAGCAGGTTCACCTAGAGCAGGTTGCACAGAAATGTGTCAAGGAGAGGTTTGAATATCTCCAGAGAAGGAGAGTCCAAAACCTCTCTAGGCAGCCTGTTCCAGTGCTCTGTCACCCTCAAAGATTTTCCTCATGTTCAGAGGGAGCTTCCTGTGTTGCAGTTTGTGCCTGTTGCCCCTCCTCCTGTTGCTGGGCTCCACTGCACAGAGTCTGGGCCCATCCTCTTGACAGCCACCCTTTTATATATTTATAAACATTGATAAGATCCTTTCAGTCATCTTTTCTCCAGACTAAACAGACCCACATCTCTCAGCCTCTCCTCATAAACAAGATGCTCCAGTCCTTAATGGTCTTTGTACCTCTCTGCAGGACTCTCCAGTAGCTCCTTGTGTGTCTTGTACTGAGGAGCCCAGAACTGGACACAGTACTCCAGATGTGGCCTCACTAGGACAGAGTAGATTTAAGTAATCTAATACACTAATAGCACCTTAGTCTCTAAAACCCACCCTGAGAAGGCCAGCTTCAGCTGTGGGCTGGTTGACTGCCCCACGTTGCAGTGAAGCAGCTCTGAGGAGCAGCAGAAGTGCTGGTAGGGAAGCAGTGGGGAAAGCCATGTGTGCACAAGAGGTGTGGCAGGGGATGCTGGTGCAGCCAGGGAAAGTGAATCATTCTGTCAGGTTGAACTGGTGCTAAGGGGGGTTGGTGGGGGGAAATGCAAGTGGCTGTGAATGAGGAGCAAATGTCCTGTCAGACTTTCCAGAGAGGTTCGTGCACTGTGCTGGGAGGAAAGAGGGGACGTGCTGCCACTCCCAGTGTTAATTATTACCTGGCAGGTTGGGGGCTGGTGGAGGCTGCCTACCTTGCATTCAGTTTGCATTCCTGGTTTTGCTAGCAAGTAGTGAAGGAAATGAAGTCTGCCAGATCCTCGGTGCAGGCTGCTGACCTCAGGGCACTAGATGGGGCAGACTCAGAGCCACAGATGTGGGAGGAGGGACGTGCATCAGGGTGCTGAGAGACTGCAGCTTCAGCAACAGAGTCGAGTATTTCAGGACATGGTGTAACATAGAGAGAGCTGCAGTGCTGGCACCCCTGCAGGGTGTGGGCTCAGTTCATCTGTCCTGGGCTTCCCCCACTGGTAACCTGCTTTACTTCACTGGGGATTAACACCTACATCTTACTTAGATGTTGGGTGCAAGCTCACGATGGCCACCTCTCACACCAGCAGAGTCTGGTCTCCTCGTGTCCCTCATCCCATGAACCTGGGGGAGCAGTTCAGGTCCCCAGAGTTGGTAAATAGTGATGGACCATGACCCAAATTTGCAGACCCTCTCAACCCAAACCAATCAGTTCAGTGCTGTCAGCAAACCCTGCCTTCCCATGCTCTGAATGCTCTCATCTCCAAAAAGCTTAGGGCAGCAGAAAAGACTTCTGTTCCCTAAGCCAATGTAGTAGAGCTGTGTATTTTTTTTTTTTTCATGCTGAATTAAAATAAACAGTGCTGCATTCAACAGTCTGCCTGGCTGTATTGTGGGGACAGTTCCTGGAATTCTGTGTGCCTTGGGGTACCTTACATAGGTAGTCAGAGTAAAGCTGTGGAGAGGAATGCAAAAATATTAATTGCCAAAGAGCTGCCTTGTTCAGGCACTGCCCTGGTTTGCCTGTGTGCTACTCAACAGAAACCTTTCCTAAAGAAACAGGTCCCTTCAGTAATAGCTGACCTGGAAGTTGCTGCTAGGCACTTTGTGCTGCAACAAGAGACAGGATTGCCTGCTTTGCAAGTATGGCAAATCCTGGTTTTTACAAAACAAACTCAACGTTGTTTGAAGGAAAGGTGTTTGGGACAAACCTGGGCTTCCCGGGGACTGTCCTGGTGTGACTGCTGCAGAGCAACTGGTGATAATCCCTTCACTTCTCTTTGATCACCCTGGCTGCAGGGAGGTGCAGAAGGCCGTGAACACTGCCCAGGGGCTGTTCCAGAGGTGGACAGAGCTCTTGCAGGATCCCTCCATCGCCACAAGGGAAGAAATCGACTGGACCACTAATGAGCTCAGAAACAACCTGCGGAGCATCGAGTGGGACCTGGAAGACTTGGATGAGACAATTAATATCCTTTCTGTGGTCCTTTGGAGGTAGATAGCTAAATACCACTAAATAACCAGCACTTGCCAGCAGTAACTTTTGGCAGAAGTCAGGACTATTTGGGATAGAATTTTTACATTTACATCACCTCTTCTCAAATCGCAAATGAGAAATTGCAGCAAACGTGCCTTTTTGTCTTCCTCTTGACAAGGTATATTCTCAGATGCTTTGTTCTAGAAAGCCTGTTGTGTTGGATGAATTTGGATTTCTGTGTAGTCAGGCATAGTCTCAGCTGGCTTCTGAAAATACCCCTTTTCCCTTGTGTTCCTCTGAACACTCCTGAAAGCTCCACGCAGCATTGGAGAACCAAGCAAAGGTGCAGGAGAACAGCTTCCTGTTTTTTTCCCCCAGTGTGTCATGCTTGGCTAATAAAATTCAGGCACAGGCACAAGCATGGTGGCCACAGGTCAACCCCTGCTGCAGCAGGCTCGGGGTGGGGGTGCATCTGTGTGTCCCCAGCCCTGCTGACAGGGCCTCCTTGACTCGCTGCCCTACGCATTGTTGAGGCCAACCCACGGAAGTTCAACCTGGATGCGACGGAGCTGGGCATCAGGAAAGCCTTCATCACCAGCACGCGGCAGGTGGTCAGGGTAAGGAGTGTGGGCTTGGGGTGGGAGAGGGGAGGAAGGCAGGGGGAGTGATTAAGGGATTAAAAAAAGGGAAAGCTTGTGTCTCTTTCTGGGCTGAAGTGGAGAGAAGAGAATAGACCTGCTGCCTGCTCTCAGGCTTCCTCCTCTTCCCTGTGCGCTCCCTCCTGGGGCTGCTCATTCAGGTTTGGGGGTGCAGGTGCCCCATGGCATGCCCTCCTTTAAGCATTGACACATCTTTTGCAACAGCAATGCTGGGAACCTGTAGTAACTGGAGCAGAAGAGTAAAGACCCTGCTGTGATGCAGGAGAGGCCAGAACCTACCTTCAGAGGTGAAGGAAATTGGATCTGTCCTGTGCTTTTCTAGCACTGGTTTTCAAAAATGTAGAGTCCACTTTGAACCCTGACAGCTGACTAAAGCCTGGTGGTGTTGATGTGGTGACTCCAACTTCCTCCTGCTACAAAACAGTCCAAACAACCACTAGATTTATTTTTAACTTGAGGAAGAATTTTTTTTTTATTTTTTTTTTTTTTCCAGTTTAAGCTCACACTTAAGAAGCAAAAGGAGGATTTTAACAACTTGGTAAAAAAATAGAGAAGCACCTTCCCAAAAGCTTCACTGCCTAGTAACAAGCTGCTGGTTAGGAAGTTTTCTCCCTATTAATAGCTACACTGAGTATAGCTTAGTTTCTGCTGCCCCTCATGACTCTGATGTTCCTGCTTCACAAAATGCAGCAAGCTGCAGTCCTGGGGTCTGGACGCAGTTCCTAAGGCTTGCTGCCTGGGAACTGATCCCAAAACTGCTCTTGCCCCAGGTTGTATTTTTTTTTTTTCATGCTGAATTAAAATAAACAGTGCTGCATTCAACAGTCTGCCTGGCTGTATTGTGGGGACAGTTCCTGGACATAGGTAGTCAGAGTAAAGCTGTGGAGAGGAATGCAAAAATATTAATTGCCAAAGAGCTGCCTTGTTCAGGCACTGCCCTGGTTTGCCTGTGTGCTACTCAACAGAAACCTTTCCTAAAGAAACAGGTCCCTTCAGTAATAGCTGACCTGGAAGTTGCTGCTAGGCACTTTGTGCTGCAACAAGAGACAGGATTGCCTGCTTTGCAAGTATGGCAAATCCTGGTTTTTACAAAACAAACTCAACGTTGTTTGAAGGAAAGGTGTTTGGGACAAACCTGGGCTTCCCGGGGACTGTCCTGGTGTGACTGCTGCAGAGCAACTGGTGATAATCCCTTCACTTCTCTTTGATCACCCTGGCTGCAGGGAGGTGCAGAAGGCCGTGAACACTGCCCAGGGGCTGTTCCAGAGGTGGACAGAGCTCTTGCAGGATCCCTCCATCGCCACAAGGGAAGAAATCGACTGGACCACTAATGAGCTCAGAAACAACCTGCGGAGCATCGAGTGGGACCTGGAAGACTTGGATGAGACAATTAATATCCTTTCTGTGGTCCTTTGGAGGTAGATAGCTAAATACCACTAAATAACCAGCACTTGCCAGCAGTAACTTTTGGCAGAAGTCAGGACTATTTGGGATAGAATTTTTACATTTACATCACCTCTTCTCAAATCGCAAATGAGAAATTGCAGCAAACGTGCCTTTTTGTCTTCCTCTTGACAAGGTATATTCTCAGATGCTTTGTTCTAGAAAGCCTGTTGTGTTGGATGAATTTGGATTTCTGTGTAGTCAGGCATAGTCTCAGCTGGCTTCTGAAAATACCCCTTTTCCCTTGTGTTCCTCTGAACACTCCTGAAAGCTCCACGCAGCATTGGAGAACCAAGCAAAGGTGCAGGAGAACAGCTTCCTGTTTTTTTCCCCCAGTGTGTCATGCTTGGCTAATAAAATTCAGGCACAGGCAAAGCACGGTGGCCACAGGTCAACCCCTGCTGCAGCAGGCTCGGGGTGGGGGTGCATCTGTGTGTCCCCAGCCCTGCTGACAGGGCCTCCTTGACTCGCTGCCCTACGCATTGTTGAGGCCAACCCACGGAAGTTCAACCTGGATGCGACGGAGCTGGGCATCAGGAAAGCCTTCATCACCAGCACGCGGCAGGTGGTCAGGGTAAGGAGTGTGGGCTTGGGGTGGGAGAGGGGAGGAAGGCAGGGGGAGTGATTAAGGGATTAAAAAAAGGGAAAGCTTGTGTCTCTTTCTGGGCTGAAGTGGAGAGAAGAGAATAGACCTGCTGCCTGCTCTCAGGATTCCTCCTCTTCCCTGTGCGCTCCCTCCTGGGGCTGCCCAGGCAGGTTTGGGGGTGCAGGTGCCCCATGGCATGCCCTCCTTTAAGCATTGACACATCTTTTGCAACAGCAATGCTGGGAACCTGTAGTAACTGGAGCAGAAGAGTAAAGACCCTGCTGTGATGCAGGAGAGGCCAGAACCTACCTTCAGAGGTGAAGGAAATTGGATCTGTCCTGTGCTTTTCTAGCACTGGTTTTCAAAAATGTAGAGTCCACTTTGAACCCTGACAGCTGACTAAAGCCTGGTGGTGTTGATGTGGTGACTCCAACTTCCTCCTGCTACAAAACAGTCCAAACAACCACTAGATTTATTTTTAACTTGAGGAAGAATTTTTTTTTTATTTTTTTTTTTTTTCCAGTTTAAGCTCACACTTAAGAAGCAAAAGGAGGATTTTAACAACTTGGTAAAAAAATAGAGAAGCACCTTCCCAAAAGCTTCACTGCCTAGTAACAAGCTGCTGGTTAGGAAGTTTTCTCCCTATTAATAGCTACACTGAGTATAGCTTAGTTTCTGCTGCCCCTCATGACTCTGATGTTCCTGCTTCACAAAATGCAGCAAGCTGCAGTCCTGGGGTCTGGACGCAGTTCCTAAGGCTTGCTGCCTGGGAACTGATCCCAAAACTGCTCTTGCCCCAGGTAGCAGATAAGTGCTCACTGCCTTGCCCTTGGTGTAGTCCATTCCCAAACAAGCAGGATGTGGCAAACCCACTCTATGGTTCTCTTTTCCTGGCTGAAAAATGCAGGCTAATGGGTTTTGAAGCAGTATCTCACTGTTGAATTCAGAGGTGCAGTCAGAGAGGATGGCCACAGGACTGGAATATCTTCTCCTGTGCAATATAAAACCAGATGCAACTGGGAATAAAAGTGCAGGGAGTTACAGGCTTCCCAAGACCTTGAAGTACATGGCTCTTCCTTACAGTCTATCAATGAGAAAATTAGTTTAATATCCAAATCAATTTTTTTTCTGGCTGTAGGGGAGTAAAATGAGCAGTAAGTAAGGAATATTTTCAAAATATCCCATTGCCATTGATTTGGGCATTACTAAAACAATGAAGCTCAGGGAAGGTTTCTAGAATATCCTTCTCGACTCTTCAAAATTACATTTTCAAAGAAAATCTTCCTTTCCTCACTCCCTGTAAAGAAGCCTTGCTGGGTATAGGCAGCCTTGTAGCACGCTGAAGCTCCCTATTACCTCAGATCCAATGCTGACATACTTCTCCTTTCATTGAACAAACAGGATATGAAGGATCAGATGTCAAACTCCTCCATGCAAGCACTGGCTGAAAGAAAAAACAGGCAGGTGAGAACCAGAAACAGACAAGTTGAGTGAATGCAGTAGCTGTTTGGTACTTTGAGCAAGGAGAATTTACCAGCTCTGGCAGCTGTTGTTTTAAGGTGTGTCTTAAGGTGAAGCTTCCATTTTAACTTGCTTTGAGGCCCCACATGGTAAGGTAGAGGGTATAGTGTTGATCAAAACTACATAAAAGCTGTACTTGGAGTATATGTTCTATCTGTGGTTCATCCCCTTAAAAAAACCTTACTTCTGGGAAGGGGCTTGCATGCTGCAGCCAAGCTCTGTGTTTGAACTGTGCCTGTTTTGCTGACCAGAGAGAGCTTTTTCTCTCAGGCATGTTGCTGCCACCCTCTTCCAAGCCTGTCTCTCAAAGCCATAAGTCAGCTCTCACCATCTGTCTCTGTCTTCAGATCTGGTTGCATACAACTGTCAGTGTTGCATCATCCTTTGGAAAGGGGAATCTCCCTTTCCTAAGGGGGAATAGGCTCAGAATCCATGTCAGTGAATGTAATCCTGCACTCTGCTGTATTCAGGAGCCAAGATATGGCAATATCCCTTCACACAGCTGCCTCTCCTAATAGAGAGCCATGTAAGAAGAGGGAAGAAGCTGAAGGAGTCTCAGGTTGTCTGCACTTGTAACCTAAGGAATAGAAATAGATGCTGCTTGTGCTTCTCCCCAGCTGGCAAGGAGGCTGGTAGGAGATCTCAGAACTGCCTCAGTGAAAGTCAGTGTGCACTTTGTACAATGAACTTACCTGGCTGCATCAGTCTTGCCACTTGTGGCAAAAATTACAAACTACTACAAGCTACTGAGAGGCAAGGGGTGATTCCTGAGTTTGTTAAGGGGTTAACTGACATGCTTGGCAAACACTTGAAGAAGCCAAGTCCCTTACACCACTGCTCAAACAAGCCTGTAGCCATCTCAGTGTTCTGCTGCTTTCCTCTGCCCAAAGTTCCTGTGAGCTGCAGGAGACCGTATTGCCCAGCTCATGTAGCAACATCTGGTCAGGAAAGCTGACTTCCTCTTGCTGTCTTCCTCTCCCTTCTCCAGCCCCTCACCTTCCCTCCAGACAGCAAAGCCAGGGCTGCAGTGGCTTTTCCAGCATGTCTCTGGGTCTGACAGGCAGGGTGGTGCTGACCCTCAGGCTAAGGCTGGCAAACAGAAGCCTTTCTTTGGAAGCAACAGCAAAACTACTGCACCACTTTAAATAATGAGTGGCCACACTTGCCATGAAGAGCAGAGAACCAGGTCTTGCTTGGTGTTTTGGGCAGACAAACCCAGATGTTCCCATGGCTTCCTGTGCTGTCCTCACTCCCACTTGAACCTTTTAAGGCAGATGAACCATAGAGAATTGCCTTTTTTTTAGCTTGCTAGAGCAGCCTGGTCATTGTGTGGCCACTCTTCAAAAAAACTTAAGTTTTCCCCTCCTGCCCACATCCAGAAGCTGTGAGACAAGTCTAGTGACAGTCAGCCTTGCCTCCACGAGTGGGCAGAGCTCCCTAACCTGTTCTAAAGTGCTGCAGGCTGCAGCTCCTGGCCTGAAGGCCACCTCCATTCTCCAGACTTCCTTAGCTGGAAAGCTACCTCTGCTTGCTTTGCACAAGTTTCTCCCTTCAGGTTGTAGAACAGGTGGCAAGTGTAATCTTGTATGCTGGCAACTGAGCAGTGTGCCAGAGAAACAGGTAGCCTGAATCAACCTGAGCATAGAGCACTGCAGTGGTTACAAACTCCGCTCTTTTAGTATCAGCTCAACCAGTGAGATTCTTAATCCAGACTCTCCTATGCCCCTTGTCATTACCAGCACAGTGTTCAGTTCGAGCTGTAGGTATGTTGACACAATATATCCATATACTTCCCAGCTTCTGTGACCTAGCACACAGTGCTGCCTCTTGAGCAGATCTTTGCTAGTCCTTTGTCCTGTGCAGACCTCTTGCATACACCTTCTGTGAGTTGTCCTCCAGCTCTCCTGCTGCTGGAGAGGGACATCTGCAATAACAGGCTGTGGAGACTTCCCAGCCTGGCACTGTGGTGTTGTAGTTTGTGACAGCACTCTGGCTGAGCAGTGACAGAGCAAGTGGAAAAGGATGTTGTGCATGTGTGTACAGGAGTATTGCCTCGTCTGCCTTCTCACTACACCCTGTAGAGAGGCTGTGAGCAGGCACAAGGGCATTGCATAGAGCTCTTTACATCTGTTTAGGTGCTCCTGGGAGAAAGTGGGAATCAGAGTTGGAGCTCTGGAGCTGACAAGTACAGCCGTCTGGACCGTGAGCTGCAATTAGCAAATTCACACTTCATCGAGGAGCAGCAAGCTCAGCAACAGGTAAGGCAGCTGGCACCACATAGACTACATACCTTTGCTTGCCAGATGGGTGCCAGGGGGATGAGGTACAGGCTGCAAGAGCACAAAAAAAAAGAAATCCAGTCCTTGGCTGGTTTAGATCCAGGAGCCTGACAGCGCTCTTCTTTGCTTGCAGCATATACCTGTGCATGCATTTTCTGTACAGCACAGCTTTGCATGCATCTTGGAGCAGAGATTTTAAGGCTTGAGTCTTCTGCCCTGTGCAGGAGGTAGACAAGATGACCTGTAAGATGTAGCACACTATGCTTTAGTACTACACGGACTGCTGAAATCCTTGGAAGAGTAGAAATGCAGCAAACAGAAGAGAGCTTGTTTCTCTTACACAACTTCCCCTGGTTAAAAAATTGAGCTGATGTTTGCTGTTGTTTGTGTGCATCTTCATCAGAACAGGCTAGGAGCAGGGGAGCACGTGCCTGCTTCCTTTTCCTGCCTTTGTCAACATGAGGTTCATGAGAAGGCCTGTGGTGAGGTGCTTCCTGGCACTGGAGGGAGTTTGTCTACAGAAGTGCCCGGGCAGCATGCAGACCCACGTGCAGCAGCCCACCCAAACACAGGCCTTTTAACAGGCAGCTTCTCAGAGGTGACAAACCCTGCTAAAGCTACTGACCCATGACACCTCAGGGCTCAGACAAGTTTTACCTAGTGACTTGAGGAAGATAAATCGATTCAGAAGTAGGTAACTAGGGTAAATCTAATCCTTAATGTGACTGTGTCCTGAAAATGACTTAAAACATCAGCAGACCCATTCCTTTCTTTGACACACTGGGAGCCAGACTTAACTATTTTTGGCTTTAGAAGCTTCAACAGCCTTTTACTCACATTAACCTCTTGTTAGCTGCAGCATGTTACAGGTTACATTTCCCAGGCACAGGATCAGAGTGGCTCTCTGGTAGCTGCTGCAAGCAGGGGGGCTTGCACAGGTTTTCTGACCAGCCCTTTTGGCTTTCAAGAGTCCTCTTGGTGGTCTGGGGTGCAGCAGGGAGGGGAGGAGGCATGGCTGGGCTGAGGCTGGATTTGCAGGGAAGTCAGGACACTGCAGCCGGCTGTGCTGGAGCGTGGTCCTCACTCCCAGTGGCTTAGGTCTGTGTCCAGGCCCTGCAGCTGATGTTGGCTGAGCAGCAAGTATCCATCCATCTGTGATCCAAGCTGCAGGAGACAGCAGAGCTGTAATTGCCCATTTCCTTTCTCTTTGGCCCCAGTTGATTGTGGAGCAGCAAGATGAGCAGTTGGAGCTGGTCTCTGGCAGCATCGGGGTGCTGAAGAACATGTCCCAGCGCATCGGCGGGGAGCTGGAGGAGCAGGCAGTGTAAGTGTGAGACGTGGTGCCAAAAACCCAGTGGGGTGTGGGGCTGGCTGCAACACAGCTGGGGGGTCCTCTTCCCCTGCTAGGGCCTTGAATTTCTTTGTCCCTCAGGCAGCTTCTCCTAGCCAACATTTGATCTTAGGCAATGGAAGGCATTTCTTACTGCAGCCTGCAAGGATCCAGCCACAGTCTCATTCTGCCAGTTCACCTTTCCTTCCCTCTCCTTCTTTTCAAGCACTCCCACTGAGTTATGCTTGTTTGCTTCAGGCAGTACCCAGCAGATGAAGGAGGTGCTATATATAGGGGAGACTGTGTGCTTTCCCACTCCATGGGGTTTTGTGCTGCCCCTGGAGAATTGCTTGACCCAGGAGCTCTCAGCTCTGTCTTGCTGCTTTCAAACATGCAGCACAGAGCTGCTATTGATAGTTAAAGCTAAAAATAACCCTTGCCTACGCAAAGGGTTAAAGGGTAGCTCACAGAGTCATTTGCATCCATCATTTACATATAAATTAGATTTCTTTCCCAGTTCTTGTTCTTTGCAAACAAGCGCATAAGTTTTCAGTTACACAGGCTAACAGCTTCAGCTTCCAGAGGGGCTTGAAGGCTTCATGCCTAAAAACCCTCCTCCTTTGGGAGTCTGGAGGGCTATGTCCTGTGTAGAGTGATGTGTTCTTTTGATGGAGAGGAGGAACTTAAAACCGACCTCCTTTCTGAAGTCTTGCAGCATGAGAGTCTTCTGCTCTCGTGGAAGCAGATCAGTGTGGTGTGTCCATTTCTAGATCATCACGTAAGCCATCAGTGCTTGCTAGATAGACAGCAGCAGATAACAACTGCAAACCAAGTTTTTTAAAACTCTTCCTTTTTCCCCTACTGAGTTGAAGTTTTAACAGGTGCCTTAGAACTCCAAATGAAGGAGAAGCTGTCCTTTTAAACGTGTTGAACTTAACAGTCCTTGCTGGCTGGAGATGATTGGATTGGTACCTTGATTCCAGATGTCCGTGTTTCTCTTCAAGTGGGTTCTTGGCATTGACAAAGCACAGCTTCAGGAAGGCTTTCAGATCCATTCAAGTCACTGTATGGAGGAAGTAGAGGGGTAACATCCATGTACAGCTTAAAAAAGCACCTTAAATGCAATTGCATCTCTCATTGCTGCTTGACACATTACTGGAACAAGATTTTAGCTTCAACTGCAAGCCCTGAACAAAAGAGGATCTAGGTGCCAGCTTGGACTTTAAATCTAACCAGTCTCTGCTAATCACAGATTATAAATGAGACTTTTCCTCTTCAAAAGAGGGAAACCCACACTCCTCACCTTGCAGGGATGTGTAGAGCTTAGCCATGGGCACGTGAGGGGGACCAGTCTGACAGGAGTCCCAAATGGCTTCTCACTTTCCACCCAAGCAGAGTTGCTTCAGCAGGTTTATTTTCCACCTTGGGGGCTTCAGGAGACCAGGCCGTTCCACGTTTCTCTGCTGGGATGTGATAACACTGATCACATCAGTGTGTTTTGAGCAGTGTGTCAGAGCACTGTGAAATCCCCAGGGGACACCAACACTTCCTGATGAGTGCTGTGCTTCTCTGTCCCCAGGATGCTGGATGACTTCTCCCACGAGCTGGACAGCACTCAGTCGCGGCTCGATAACGTCATGAAGAAGCTCGCCAAAGTGTCTCACATGACAAGCGGTAAGTCCTGGGAAGTGGGATCCAGGCCTGGAAAGGCAGAGAGACAAGCCTTAAGATGTCAGGGCTGCAACGTTGCATGCTCCCAACCACCAACAGCCATCCCAGACCTGAGCAGAGGGGAGGGAGCAGCCCTTGGTCCTTGAAAGAGGGGGAACACTTCCAAGCCCTGCAGCTGCTCCTGCCTAGACACTGCTCTGCAGCCTGTCCTCTGCCTTTTGTTTTATTTACAGATGCCTTTCTATTTATGCTGCTACTGCCGTGGTGGGAAAATCCCCCTCTAGATGGTAGGAGGGGAAGCTCAGCAGCTTCCCACTGCTGGAGTTTTCCTGCAGAACAAAAGCTTTCAAGGTGCCATAAAACACTCACAACTCCGCGTGGCTTTCCCTCCCCCAAATCCTGCGTGCAGCAAGCCCCTTCCCAAATCCCACCTGCCCTCAGGCTTGTTGTCAGTCAGATACATCTCTCAGCTGGCAGAGGAAAGAGGAGATTTCTATGCCAGGATGGGAGGCTGAACCCATGAGAAAAGTCCTTATAAGGCTGTGCCTGAGCCACAGGCAGAGCAGACAGGAAGCCAGCAGGCGGGAAGTCCCCCGCCGCAGGGTTGCCTCTCTAGTCCTGGCAGGGCGCCTGGCTGTCACCTCCTCTGTTACCCTTCTCCCCTGGGTGCTTGGAGGAGCTTGTTGGAGGCAGCAGTGAGTTGGGAGAAGTGTTCCTGGTCTGTGGGATTAGACTGATCAGGGTATTTACGTGGTGGTGGAAATACAGCCCTGTTGAGACCATTTGGAGTGCTGAGAGTGCCCTTGGGGTGACCAGTAGCCTAGTGGCAGCATGACCACTGGGCAAATCTTGTGTATCCCCCTTTCCTCTGGGAAAAAGATTGTTGCTGCCTGCTTCTGAGAGCTGTGAAAGAGCATTTCTGCTCCCCCTGGCATGGCATGTGCTGGGGCTGATCAGGAGGGCTCTGCTCTAGGTAGCTGCACTGCTGGCATGTGCCAGCAGCTCTGTCCCTGCTGCAGCACCATTGTCTTGCAGAAGCTTTCTGCCATGGACAGGTAGCAGCTCCCAGAGGAGATGCAGCATTCAGCTTCTGCAGAGCATTCATAGAGCCAGCAAGGTGTAGACATCCAGAGGAAAACTAATTCCTGGCACTCTCCTAAGGGCAACTGCCGCAAATTCGTCCTGGTAGTTTTTACCAGACCCCTTCTTGTTCCTCTAGCAAACAAAGTTACTCCCAAGAATGACCAGCAACACACAGCAGCTCTCTGCTCATTCCTCCTGACCGCTTTTGAACCAGCTTGTCAAATCTGTTAGAACTTGGTTGAGGGGAAAGCCTCAAAATTCCCACAGCTGTCCCCAAACATGGATGTATCCTGGAGGAGAAATGCTATTGCCCCATGGGGTGCAACAGGGCACACTGCCAAAGCAGCTGCTGCTTTGGCATTGTATGGCTTCTTTAAGCTTAAAGTGGGATCCTTGCAGTACAGTGGAGAAGAACTCTCCCTTGATTTTCTTTCCCTGGTAAAGCAGGAAGACTTAGACGCTTCCTTTTCCTTCCAGATCGACGGCAGTGGTGTGCAATCATCATCCTCTTTGTCATCTTGCTGGTGGTGCTCATCCTGTTTTTTGTCCTGTGATGGACTGAACTTCCTCAGACGCCCCCTCCCCGCCCCCTCGCCCCCCCACAGTACGGGGAAATGAAACTCTCACCGTTTCCGTCCGCCCACAGAGATCCCCGGCAAGAAAACCCGCACCCAGCTCTCACCATTCTCCTCTGAGGATCTCAGCTCTGCTGGTGTCTCACCCGGCCCTGGAGAGAGGGGGTGGAGGACTGAAGCTGCCTTCTCCCTCAGGGCAGTACCATCCAGCCCTGGGCTCCAGGTCTGGACCTAGGCAGCAGGAGGGGGGATTCACCCCTGTGCTCCCAGCCCGTGCAGGTAGGACCTGGTTGCTGCGGTCCCGAGCCGGATGGTGACACAGCGAGTCCTGGGAAGGATGGGATGGGGGGGGGGGGGGGAAAAGAATTAATTCAAGGGCTGAGCATTACAAACTGTATTGCCAGCCAAAAGCATTACCAGGAGGAGCGGTGGCATGAAGCCCCAGGCAGCCACAGTGAGGGAGGGGAGCCCTGGCTGAACCCCCACTACCCCACGCTGCCCTCCTCCCAGCTCCCTGCTGCCAACTTACCCTTGTGAGTCAGCAGCGGAGCGTGCCCATCCAGCCACCCCTTGGCAGGAGCTGACAGCAGGTGAGCTGCAGGGTGGAGTGTCCTGACACTGGCCGGGCACTGTTAGAGACCCCAGAGCTTTACACACGGGTTGTTGATGCAGGTTGAGAGCTGGCAAACAACCGTTGGCTGGAGAGTCAGTTTCTTAAAGCTTTTGAAATTGCCTCCTTTGTTATACAAGCCTCTAAAGCTCATTGACTGATGCTTTTCTTTGCCCTTGTATAACTGACTGCTTCTGTTTAACAGCTGCTTCCCTTTGGCAAGTGCTTTGTCAGGTCTAAAATAACTTATTTTTTTTTAAGGAAAAAAAAAACTGTAAAAGATTTTTGGATGATTGTTCGAGCCACGTTCTCTCTGCGGGTGCATGACACGCGGTACCAGAGGAATGGGGTTTGATCATGTATTTTAAGTGCATATGAACTTGTAAATAGGATGTCTTCATTTTTCCAACTGCTCTTTTTTTGGACACCTCCATTTGTAAGCAACCAAAAGGCAAGAGACTCAAAAGTTAGGTCAGGTTTCTATATTCCTTCCCAGTCCTTTTGTTACCTTTGAGCTGTTTGTCCTTCGAGTTGTCTTGGCAGTCTCGGATAGCGTATCATCTCCCTCTGTTGTCTCCCTTGTACAATGAATTAGGAGTTAGTTGGGTGGTCAGATACCAAAGTGTGGTGAAGAAGGCTCACCTGGGAAGTACCCACTGGGGAGGAACACAGGCAGGGAGGGGGTTCATGCTGCAAACACCAGTTGCAGGACACAGGGTGACTCTTCAGGAAAGCAAAATGGAATTCTTCCTGAAGCCAGCTCCCACAGTGAAGTAGCAAACACTGAAAGAGTTGGGATGAGCTAGTTTACACCTCCCATCTGGGTCTCAGATGGGGCTAGGGGAGGAAGTTAATTGGTGCTGACGCTAAGACTTCTGCTGAAATTGCAAATCGCCCTGAAAATCATCCTCCCCGAGCGGGAAGCTCACCACCAGACAGCTCTACCTCTGGAATGCATAGCCCAGACTGAGCACTGCTCCCCACTGGGTCCGTGGCTCCCTTCAGGCAGCTGCCTGACCCCCCCAGCCCCCTGTCCTCCCCCTGCAGGCACAGGCAGCTGGTGGCACTGTGCCTTCTGCAGCTGGGCAGGGGGGTGAGACCCAGACACCCTGCTGTGCCTGAGTGGGTGCTGATGAGCACACACGTGCCCTTAGCAGCAACCTGCACTCATTCCAGCTGTTGCTCTTCATCCTTGTGGAGCACCTCATTTCTTTTGGTGGCACTGCAAGAAATCAGCAGTGTCTCCTTTCAGAGACTGGCTATCCCAGTGTCTGCTTGGCTCCTTGGCCTTCCTACCTCTCCAAAGAGCAGGTTCCTGGGAGCACGAGGGGAGTGGTGGGGTTGGCGTGGTCATGCATCCTCTGGGAATGACTGCCAGCACTTCATGCCGACTGTCCCTCCATTATTCCAGCATTCTGCTGGAGGGTGGCCCAGCTCCTGGCATCACCACAAGCCACCAAAGCGTCTTTGGCGCCTTTTCCTTGTCTACATGTTGGTGCCCCTCCCTTCACAATAAATAAAGGCATTGCTGCTGCCTGCCGTGGCACAGCAGAGCTCTCCTGTTGTTCTCAGTGACCCTTGATCAGGGACAAGTTGCCGGGGGCAAGGGGGGGAGGGTAGAGCTCCTGGCACCCTGTAAGTGGGAAAAGCTCCCTCTCAACCCCCCCCACCC